AAGAGTTACGACCTTCACTCCTTAGCTTTCCCAGCTGCAGATATTTGGCCTTGCTGGCCTTGCAGACCATTAGTCAATTAGCAACATTCTTGAGTGCTCACACCTGCACTGGGAGGGAATCTGGTTATTAAGTTTCGATTCCCCTAAGGCCATCAACAAGTATTATGGGATATCCTTGGTTACCATAGTTACTGCCAACTGTGACATCACTGTTGCCGGGTTATGAGTGGCTAACAGGCCTGAGCCACTCGTGACCCCCTTTCTCTATAAGAACCTATGTTCTTGGTAACTAGGGGTGGATTCTTTGGAGTCTGTGGGCGAGCCAGCCTAAGACTCCGATCTAGTTCAGGGCTTTTCTGGTAGGAATTGCAAAGCTTATTTGGCTGTAAGTAAGTGCTTTGGTTTGGGGGTGGATGGAGGTAGATTGGGGGCCCTTGCGTTTAGTCATGCTGGCCACATGGCCACAGAAACATCTTCGGACAGCGCTGGCTCTTCGGCTCAGAAACAGAGATGAGCACCGCAACCCTAGAGTCGGATTCAACTGGCTTTTGAGCAAGGGAACCTTTACATTTACTAAGTGCTTTGGTTTGGGGGTGGATGGAGGTGGATTGGGGGCCCTTGTTCCAGTTGCTCTAGTTCAGGGCTTTTCTGGTAGGAATTGCAAAGCTTATTTGGCTGTAAGTAAGTGCTTTGGTTTGGGGGTGGATTGGGGGCCCTTGTTTGTGCAATAAACCACTTGTATTTATTATTTAGTTATTATTTAGAAGTATGAGCATGGCATGGCAGTACCACACAAACATATAGTGGTGGGCAGTGTTTCCTCTAAGCTAAGTTAATGTGAGCTAACTCACAGTTTTTTAACCTCCAGCTCACAGGTTTATGTCTTAGCTCAGGAAGGATGGCTCCAGAGCAAACTAATTTATGCAACCGCCAAATTGCTCTCTCACAACTTTAATGGCAGTCGCTCACAAAGTAGAAGTTTTGCTCACAAAACTCCACAGCTTAGAGGGAACATTGGTGGTGGGCCCCCTGAGAAAAACATGGGCCCCCTGAGAAAAAAGTTGTTAGCTACGGGCCTGTAATCAGAAGGCATAATTGGTTACAAAAACTTAAACATTTACATAAAAATCTCCTTATTGGTCAAAATAAAGAAAGTGTGACCTGACCTGAATCATATCAGCCATAGCTTGTTCTCACCCAAACAAAGGTGTTTTTCTCTGATAGCAAGTAAAAGATCCTTTTGACCCAGACACTATGAAGTTATAACCTAAACAATTAGAACCATGAACCTTCTACCTTCTTTTGTGCCAAAAGAATGTTATTGTCTTGTCTGTTAACCTCAATTGGAAAACTACCCTGACCCACAAAGAAGGCCTCCTATATACCAGGCCTTCATTACCTTCCAATAAAATGTTAAATCTATAATAAACTTATAAAAACCAGAGAATTATGAATAATCAAAAAGATAAAAATCTATATAGTCCCATCTCTTCTACACCTCCTCTGTCTTTCTATTGGTTCCTGCCCCTGTCCTTCATGGCCATGCCTGGGCAGATCATTCCCTCGAAGCCCACAGGACCCCACCCACAGACTCTACCAGCCCTCAGGATGGTACTTGCCCAGAGCCCAGCAGGGTGGAGTTCTCCACCCCTGCACTTCCATCTCCTCTGCTGGACCCTGTGGGACCTAACTGGACAACATAGATGAAGAAGAGATTGAATTTATACCCTGCCCTTCACTTGGAGTCTCAGAGTGGCTTACAAGCTCCTTCCCCTCCCCACAACAGACACCCTGTGAGGTGGGTGGGACTGAGAAAACTCTGACAAGCCTGGGGAATACCGCTCTGAGAGAAGCCTGGGGAATACTGCTCTGAGGCAAGGGGGTGTGTCCTCCCACCAGGGCCTGGCGTCTCCCAGGATTCTGTCTCCACCCAGGCTTTCCGCAGCCTCCTGGGGCTCTGGCCACTTCCTGCTGCTCTCCCTGCTTCCTCTCAGCTCAGCTGCCACTGAAGTTTGTCCTCAGCTCATCCGTGGCCTGTACCATTGCCTGCTCCCCTTGCCCTCATTTGGCCATCTGGGATGACAGCTACTGCTGCTGGAAGGGAGGTGGATGGGCTGATGACGTATCAGCGAGCTTTGTGGGACAGGGTTGGCCTCATTCGCTGGGGTCGCATTGCCATGCCATAGGAGCCTATCATGGGGTGGTTCCTTCATCAGAATCAGGCCTGGATACAGAGCATTCAAAAGGTTTCTCCCCTGTGTGGGTTCTCTGATGCTGTTGAAGACTAGAACTGTCAATGACTCTCTTTCCACACACTGAGCATTCAAATAGTTTCTCCCCTGTGTGGGTTCTCTGATGCTGTTGAAGAGTAGAACTGTCAATGAATCTCTTTCCAAACTCTGAGCATTCATATGGTTTCTCTCCTGTGTGGACTCTAAGATGCTTCTGAAGAGTGCCACTGTGACTGTATCTCTTCCCACACTCTGAGCATTCAAAAGGTTTCTCCCTTCTGTGGGTTCTTTGATGCTGTTGAAGATTGCCATTCTGACTGAACCTCTTTCCACACACTGAGCATTCAAAAGGTTTCTCCCCTGTGTGGGTTCTCTGATGCTTTTGAAGACTAGAACTGTCAATGAATCTCTTTCCACAAACTGAACATTCAAAAGATTTCTCCCCTCTGTGTATTCTCAGATGCTTTTGAAGACTGCCATTCTGACTGAATCTCTTTCCACACACTGAGCATTCAAAAGGTTTCTCCCCTGTGTGGGTTCTCAGATGCTTCTGAAGATTGCCACTGTCACTGAATCTCTTTCCACACTCTGAGCATTCAAAAGGTTTCTCCCCTGTGTGGGTTCTGCGGTGCTTCCGAAGAGTACCACACTCACTGAATCTCTTCCCACACTCTGAGCATTCAAAAGGTTTCTCCCCTGTGTGGGTTCTTAGGTGTTTCTGAAGAATGCAACTGTCACTGAATCTCTTTCCACACTCTGAGCATTCAAAAGGTTTCTCCCCTGTGTGGGTTCTCTGATGCCGTTGAAGTTTCCCCTGGACACTGAATTTCTTTCCACACTCTGAGCATTCAAAAGTTTTCTCCCTTGTGTGGGTTCTTTGGTGCTTCTGAAGACTGCCACTCCGACTGAATGTCTTTCCACACTCTGAGCATTCACAGGGTTTCTCCCCTGTGTGGGTTCTTCGATGCTTCCGAAGAGTACCACGCTCACTGAATCTCTTCCCACACTCTGAGCATTCAAAAGGTTTCTCCCCTGTGTGGGTTCTTTGGTGATTCTGAAGAATGCAACTGTCACTGAATCTCTTTCCACACTCTGAGCATTCAAAAGGTTTCTCCCCTGTGTGGGTTCTCTGATGATATTGAAGACTGTTACTTTGACTGAATCTCTTCCCACACTCTGAGCATTCAAAAGGTTTCTCTCCTGTGTGGATTCTCTGATGCCGTTGAAGATGGGCTTTCCGACTGAAACTCTTTCCACACTCTAAGCATTCAAAAGGTTTCTCCCCTGTGTGGCTTCTCTGATGCTTTTGAAGATGGCTACTCTGACTGAATGTCTTTCCACACTCTGAGCATTCAAAAGGCTTCTCCCCTGTGTGGGTTCTTTGATGATACTGAAGTCTTCCACTGTGAATGAATGTCTTTCCACACTCTGAGCATTCAAAAGGTTTCTCTCCTCTGTGGGTTCTTTGATGATATTGAAGACTACTACTGTGACTGAATCTCTTTCCACACTTCGAGCATTCAAAAGGTTTCTCCCCTGTGTGGATTCTTTGATGACATTGAAGACTGCCACTGTGACTGAATCTCTTTCCACACAATGAGCATTCAAAAGGTTTCTCTCCTGTGTGGGTTCTTTGATGATATTGAAGACTGCTACTGTGACTGAATCTCTTTCCACACTCTAAGCATTCAAAAGGTTTCTCCCCTGTGTGGGTTCTTTGATGATATTGAAGACTTCTACCGTGACTGAATCTCTTTCCACACTCTGAGCATTCAAATGGTTTTCCCCCTGTGTGAGTTCTTTCATGCTCCTGAAGATTGCTGCTCCGACTGAATCTTTTTCCACAATCCGAACATTCAAAAGGTTTCTCCCCTGTGTGGGTTGTTTGATGCCGCTGAAGACTGCCACTCCGACTGAATCTTTTTCCACAATCTGAGCATTCAAAAGGTTTCTCCCCTGTGTGGGTTCTTTGATGATATTGAAAACTGCTACTGTGACTGAATCTCTTTCCACACAGTGAGCATTCAAATGGTTTCTCCCCTGTGTGGGTTCTCTGATGCTTCTGAAGAGTGCTACTGTCACCGAATCTCTTTCCACACAGTGAGCATTGAAAAGGTTCCTCACCTCTATGTATTCTTCGGTACATAAGGAGCTGTGATCTATTTCTGAAGTACTTTCTGAGTTTAATGGATTTACATGCCTTCATTATCCTCCACTTTGCAAAACGTACATTACGCTGTCTGCCATCTCTCTTCTCAACCATATACCCGACTTTCTGTCTCTTAGGTGTCCCACGATTCCTGACGTTTTCTTCCAAGTCTTCATTTTGAACTCTATGTGGCCTTTGCTGATGATGTTCCGCACTCTCCTCATTTCTCTGATCATCCTCTGCTGGAATAAAGAGAGAGATCCTGTTAGCATCGGGGAGGGCTGGTACGGTCCAAAGGCCTGTTACATGAATGCAGGAGGAAAAGATTGATCTTCCTTTGGCCTTGTCCAGCTTGGCTGTTCTTTACCACCCCTCCACCTTTCTCCAAAATATCCAGTATTTAACGATGCCTCACCCCCTCAGGAACTACAGCCCAGCTCTTGCCAAAAGGAGTTTCCGAGACTCCAGATTTCAGTACTCAGAGAGCCTCCCTCTCTCCTTACCCAGCAGGCTGCATGATTGCACCAAACCAAATGTTGCTCAGAAGAGAATCAGGAAGCCCCCCTGACTATTCCTTGCCTGTTGCCTTGACATAACCATGAAGGATACTCACTCTCAGCCAGCTCATCTGGGAAGGAAATATGCTCTTGGGATCCTCCTGAGGAACTCTCCAGCCTATCTTCGAATGGAAGGCTGTTGTCTGTCTGCCCTAATTAGAGAACAGGTAATACTCACTCTCAGCCAGCTCCTCTGGGAAGGAAATATGCTCTTGGGATCCTCCTGAGAAATTCTCCAGCCTTTTGTCGAGTGGAAGGCTGTTGTCTGTCTGCACCGTAGTCTCTCTTATACTTCTGGCTTCTTTCACAGGGAGAGAGAGAGAGAGAAAGTGATCATTCTTACATGGGGAAGGAAAGACATTCAAAAGTAAAAATTCTTCTGGAAGGACGGAACTATACTCAAGATCAGAGCCCACCATCCCAATCAGTACAAGGTGAATGGATCTGTGAAGCAAAGCACCCTAGCTCCTTCAAGGCTAAACGTGATTATTAAGTGGCCTAGTCTGACTTGCAGGTGTTTGTGATTTGAGTCTCCCTGCACCTAACATCCTGTTTTTTCAAGGGCAGACTCCAGAATGGGGTCATTGGTTAATTGTGAGACCCTGGATACAGCTGTGTAACCAGGAGGGAGGGGGATTAGGAGGGTGCTGACAGCCTCTGGAAAATTCCATCACGGAGGACCCTTGTTGATTGGGTCATTAGGACCACCTGGCCACAGAGAGGCAGGAAGTATAATGCAGGTACAGACCAGAGGGAAACCAAGCTAACTTTATGCTCATGCCAAGGTAGTGCACCTTGGTATTTTCTTCCTTCATCACGATGAATAGTTCTTTGTAGAGTAACTTAGGCTTCAGATGGAATACTTATGCTGCAACAGGAAGTGCCATTGAATACCAAGTATTTCATGTACTAGATAGAAGAGTTAGCTTTTCTTGGTTTTCTGCTGCTGAGGTGCAGAAACTGTGCCGCTTAGAGACGTCTTATTTTTCAAACCTTTGTATATATGTTTAAAATGGGTCTGCTTGGCCTGTCTGCACTCTCCCCGTGAACCCACTGAACAGGGTAGTGCTCTCAGGTGCAGAGAGGAGTGACCCAGGAGGACCCAGGCTTTGGTCCTTGACAGGATCTCTTCCAGATCACAGGCAGAGCAGATGTTTCTAATCCCATCCAGGGGGAAGGGTGTGTTGTAAAGGTTGGCAGCAGAGAAACGTGGATCTGGCCCCTTTCCAGGGACTTCCTGAGGGCCTCTCATCCCTCCCCCCTTTTGCCTCAGGCCAGGAGACACCTTCTCAGGCTCAGGTGACGGCCACCCCTCTGGCCTCAGTGGCCCCTGGGCAAGTACACACACATGAGCAACACGTGAAGCTGCCTTCTACTGAATTGGGCCCTTTCTCCACCGAAGTCAGTGTTGTCTACCCAGTCCGGCAGGGGCTCTCCGGGGTCTCAGGGAGAGAAAGGTCTTTTCTCATCCCCTCCTACCCGATCCTCTTAACTGGACGAACTGGGGACTGAATCTGGGACCTTCTGCATGCCAAGCAGATGCTTTGCCAGTGAGCCACAGACCCTCCCCAAGTAGCGGAACAAGCCTCAAAACGCTGTATTGCTATTCAATATTTTGATTCATGCCTCCTCACAATGGCAGCAATTTGCACCTTTGGCACCTATGAAAGATCCTTACCCAGAAAGGCCACATTCCCATAGTTCTCCCGCATGACTTCCCTGTACAGAGCTCTTTGTCCCGGATCCAGCAGGGCCCACTCTGCCACGGTGAAATACACGGCCACCTCCTCAAAGGAAAAGGGGCCCTGGAAGAAAAAAGCAGATTCCCTCGTCAGGGGTAATGCCAGGCAGAGATGGCACACGGGAACGGAGTAGTCTGGGAAGGTAGAGGATGTATTGGAACGGATTGGTTCAAGGGAAAGGGGGTAAGAAGGGAAAGGTGTTAAGAAGATCTCTCAGCCAGACACCTTGTAGAAACTGCAGGAGCAGAAGCCACCCTGAGAAGGGAGGAGGGACCCCGGCTGCCCCCCCCCCGTCCTCATCTCCCCTACCTGGACTGGAGGGGCAGCAGCCGTTTCCACACCTCTGAGAAGATGACGGCTCAACGGCATCTCTTCCCTGCCTGTTTCTGAGACAAAGGAGGGAGAAAGGGAGTTTGCTTGCTTGTTCCCTGCTTCACACACCCAATTCCCTTGGTTGTGAAACCTCACCCTGTGTACACTCAGCACATTTTTAAACACATTTTATGCTAAATTTGGGGAGAGGCAGAAGAGAAGCACCAGGTACCTATGAGCCTCAGGGGTTATAAACGCTGGCAAAACATTTCAGACCCCTGTGAGACCCATGTCTGGCCTGGGGGGTGGAAATGATGTCGCAGGACGCGTCACCATCACCTTCGGCCCCAGATGTGACTTGAGCTCACCTGGAGAACAGAGGGGACCCACGAATGAGTTTCGGGAGTGCCTCTTGGCATGCTGACTTCACCACTGGGGTTTTCAGCCAGATGCGACATCAACAGGACACCACATCTGCCCCAAGCCCCTCCCAGAGTCCCTCCCGCAAAGCATCTGAGGGTGGTGGCCTATCCATAGCCCCCCCCCCCACTCCAGCATCTTGTTTTCCCCCCCAACAGCCAGCCAGGTGCCCTTTTAAGGATGGGCAGAGAGGCCAAATTTCCCCAGGGACTGGTTCTCAGAGCTCTGCTGCCCCCAGAAGGTGGAGGCTCCCTTCATTCAACAGGCTGAAGTGCTTTGTCTGCCTTTTCTCTTTTGAGCCACCTTGAGTTCCTCTTTCGGAAAGAAGCTGAGATATGATCATTTTAATACATGGGAGGAATTGCCCTCCATGAATTTGTCTAATCTCCTTTTAGAGGCATCACAGTTAGTGGATATTGAATACTGCAAATTAACTCTGTGTTCTGTGAAGAACTATTTAATTTATTTCCTGACCAGAACTCCCTACCCATCAAATTCACTGGGTGCCCCAGTCGCATCCAGGCACGACGGGTCCTTACCACAGGAGAGGGCATCCTGGG